AATCACTGAGAGAGGATCAACAAAAGTAAAACACACAGACACAAACTGCATCCATTTTTACTAGACACGCACACACGTCTCTAAAAACACACACATACACACCCTTCGTCAATGAACCCTACCATTATGACCCACCCACCACCACGACGACTGCTTTGAGGGAAGAAGAAGAGGGGAATAGGATGTATTGTTCTGAACATCTCTGTGAAATGGTTTCAGTGAGGTTTCATCAGAAAAATATCGGAGAGGGTGAAAGGGTGGGAGTGTTGTTTTGAACTCTTCTCTTACAAATCACGTCCGTCAACAAACACCATTTCTGGTGATCCACCACAATCCACCCATTATGACCCTCCCCCCATAGTCACCCTCTTCCCCCCCCCCCTTCCTCACTGTATCTCCCTTACATTAGTAATGATACAGAGAGGTTTCGGCAGTTCACAAGGCTTTTCTTCGATATTTGAAGAAGAAAGAAACAAAGTCGAAAGAGGCTCGAAATACTACATCGAGAACTCGTTAACAGTGGCCTACGCAATTTCTAGGGACTTGGGTTGCGTACCTGGTCACACGCGAGTTCTTAACAGTCCTGAACAGATTGCGTTTATTTCTTTATTTAATTATTTTGTTTGTTAATTAATTTAGGATTAATATTAGAAGTGTTGGTTATTTGTTTTCTAAATTAGATTAGGATTATTAGTTAGTTATCTTTTCTATTATTTAAATAGTTTCCTAGTTAATTAAGAATTAGGATTAATTTAGTTTCCATAATTATCTTAATTAGTTTACTTATAAATAGGATTCATTGTTTTTATTGTTATAAACATTATTATCAATTCAATTTCTTCTCCTTTATGAGTTTTAAGACTTTTTCTCTTAGTTTATCGAGTTTTATGAATTGTAATTCTCAATCCAAATGGGTTTAAACATTTTTCGATCCTTTCGTAAATCTACGCTACGTTAGTTGGTACCAAAGCAGGATTCGCCTATCCTTTTCACTAACAATGGCAGATCAGCAGCCCGCTACGAAAGCAGATATAGCCCATTACCGCAGATCTAGTAGATCTGACAGCAGCTGTTAACTAAAACAACGTTCGACCTGACAATGGCCCTCGCCCAAGGAGGGAAAGACCTGTAGAACCGATTATGGTTCCGCCCCACGGCAACCGTAACCAGATCGATCCATCTAGTTCTGAATCCGAAGAGAAGGAGGAAGAAGAACCAAATGACCCTAGAAGAAACGACCACAATTACCGAATGAAGGAATACATTCCGTACTTTTACATAACAATGGGCATCGAAGGATTTTTAGACTGCCAAATCGAGGTAGACCGTTTCTTTGATGTCATGGAAGTGCCAGAAAATAAGCAGATAAAGATGGTAGCTTTCCATTTGAAGAGCACCGTTACAGTATGGCCAGACAAACTGGTGGCTCAATGCCAACGCCAACGAAGAGGACTGGTTCGTTCATGGCAGCGAATGAAACAACTAATGATAGAGTGATTTCTGCCCGAAGACTATGGACTGATTCTCTATAAGATGTATCTTGACTGCAACCAAGGTACGCAATCCGTCACTAGCTACACCACAGAGTTCCTACGATTATTTGAACGGAATGAACTCAGAGAATCAGAAGGTCAAAGGGTTGCTTGTTACATCAGCGGTTTAAAATCAACAATCCAAGATAAAACTGGACTACAAACCGTGTGGACCGTCACGGAAGCTTCAAGCTTGGCACTAAAAGCAGAGTTAATTTAAAAATCTGCACAACAATACCAAGGAGCTATCGAAGTCCAAACTCCTACCGTCGATATTGGAAAAAGAGTTACAAACCTACGAGAAACCGATCCATCCCCTCGAGCCAACCACGACAGTTCTAGGAGGACCACAAGGGAATACGGCTCCTACAAAAACCCCCAATCTATACGCCAAACCAATGGGCCTCAAGTGTTATCGATGCGGAGAACCTGGTCATAGATCCAATGAATGTACTAACCGAAGAACAGTTGGATTAGTAGACAACAAAGAAAACAGGGAGGATGAAGACTATGATGGTGCTAAGTTTGCTGAGGAAGACTTCCAAGAGAAGATCAACATCGTACTCCAACGAGTACTCCTCTCGTCCAAAAAAGAAGGACAAAGAAAGAACCTTTTCGATATCATTGCTCCATACATAAAAAGGTACATAATCTCATCATTGATAACGGAAGTTGTGAAAAACATTGTGTCTAGAAAGCTAGTGGATCATCTTGACCTACCTACTCAACCCCATGAGGCTCCTTATTCTCTTGGGTGGGTCAAGAAAGGCCCGCAATTAGAGTCACAAAAACTTGTCGGGTACCCATATAGATCGGAAAATATTACCAAGAGGAAGTTCTATGTGATGTCCTTGACATGGATGCGTGTCACATCCTATTGGGTCGACCTTGGCAATTCGATAACAATGTTACTTATAAGGGGCGGGATAATGTTATGTTATTCTGTTGAGGAGACCGAAATATTGCAATGGCCGCTGGTGGTAGTTTTGAAAATATTCTCGACAAGAAAACCGACAATCTTCTTATCAAGGCTACTAACGAGCAAGAGATAAAAGAAGACACAAAGAAAGTTGAAGTCGTTTGGCCTAACATTATTGAAGGACTAATGAGTGCAGAAAAAGTCGAGGTCGAGATTCCAAAAGAAGTAAACGAGACTCCAGAAAAAATCGAGACAATTCTTAGTAAGGTTCGTGTAACTTTTTACCCTTTCGAGTTTGACATAGTCTCACTTGTGTGGAAGCAATCACGACACCATCCTTCGGAACTTTACGATTTCTCAACCCTTATGAAATCTAAAGACCGAATTATGGATCATGTTTCAATGAAAGAAATTTCTTTAAATGAATTGGTATTGCATCAAGGTTCGAGAGAATCGAGTGAAGATGAATTTCAAGTGAACTCGAGGGCAAGTTCTTTTTAAGTGAGGGTGAGTTATACAAAGAGGTTTCGGCAGTTCGCGAGACTTTTCTTCTATCTTTGGAGGAGAAAAACACGAACTCGAAAGAGGCCCGAAATACTACATCGAGAACTTGTTATCAGTGACCTACGCAATTTCTCGCGGGACTTGGGTCGCGTACCTAGTCGCATGCGAGTTCTTAACAGTACTGAACAGATTGCGTTTATTTCTTTATTTAATTATTTTGTTTCTTAATTAATTTAGGATTTAATATTAAAAATATTACTTATTTGTTTTCTAAATTAGATAGGATTATTATTTAGTTATCTTTTCTATTATTTAAATAGTTTCCTAGTTAATTAAGAATTAAGATTAATTTAGTTTCCATAATTATCTTAATTAGTTTAGCTATAAATAGGATTCATTGTTTTATTGTTAATTATCAATACAATTTCTTCTCCTTTGTGAGTTTTAAGAGTTTTTCTCTTAGTTTATCGAGGTTTACGAATTGTTATTCTCAAGTCAAAAGGGTTTAGACATTTTCCCTTCTACATTGTCCCTTGCTAACGATTACCACACTCAACCCACATCGACTAAAATTGTCCACCTTCTACATTGTCCCTCATGACCAAATCTGTAAACAAACAACGGGATGATGGTTCTGCAAGCACCATCGTTGGCATCAGCACCACCACTGGTGAAACTCTATAGCGCATAAGATGGAGGTTTCATAGGGAAGAGAGTGTTGTAAGATAGTCATAGAGTGAGGAGTACATAGAGATGAGGCAATGCACACACATCTGTATATGTATACACACACACACACACTAATACATATTAAAGAAACAGAATGTAAATATATATATATATATAT